TTATCAAGTTATAAAAAAAAAATACATTGTATTCTTTTATAAACGAGTTTATAAACGATTCAATAGTATAAACATAATTTTCATATCTATCTATTATATATAATTATATATAGACAAAGAAAAATATTATTCTCCATTACTATATTATCATAACAAGAAACCCTTTAATCACATACCTGAATACTCAACTGATTTGTTGATTTACAATTATAAATAAATAAATAAATTATTGTAAAGGACGAAGTAAAGTATTGTGGGCGGTGCATTTATACTTTTCAAAGGGATTAGAATTGTTTCGCTAAATTTATAATATTTTTTTAAGCAAAATATATATATATAGTATGATATGCGTATTTATTATGATTTCAAGTTGCGCACACTACAATATTATACCTGCGGTGTTTTGAATATTATTTCCCTACGATGATTATCTTTATATTATTATATATAAACATGTATACACATATATACAATACAATGGAGGGAAATGTATTCAATATAGAATAGCAGGTAATTTACCTAAATGCAATGGTATTAAACTACTACTTACACCCGCTGTTAATGACACTATGCAAATATTTATCCATTTTTGCTTGTACTTTGTTCTTTTAAAATTACAGATCATTTTTCAGTCATAAATAATTTGTGCCAAAGAAAAATTTGCTATACTATTGTTTTAAAAATTGTGCCGAAAATATTTATTAATCCAAAAATTATGCAAAACTCGTAATTTTTCTCTTCGATTTGTTAAAAAAATGGAATAAACAATTAATTAATGGTTAATAATTAATTAATAGTTAATGATTAATTAATAGTTAATAATTAATAATTAATAATTAATGATTAATAATTAATGATTAATAATTAATAATTAATAATTAATAATTAATAATTAATAATTAATTAATAGTTTTTATAAATATATATTTATTTATAAACGTATGTACAATTAAAATAAATAAAAATAAACAATTCTTCTTTCTTTTTTACCGAAACAATTACAATTTATGTTTATGAATATTTTATCTGAATTCATATACAGTTCTTTCACCTCATACAGGTACCTGAAGAAAGAAAGAGAGAAAGAGAGAGAGAGAGAGAGAGACAAGGTCCGCGACATATCGATCGCTTTTTGAAATATTGACTATGGTCAGAGAAGTTCATAGAAAGTGTAGAAGTGCATATGTGATAGTGAACCTTATTAAAAATGCATACGATTAATAATTCATTTTATTCTAAGAGATGAACATTGGCCACGACTAAAAAAAAGTTCGCAGAACTTTTAACCTTTCATAATTATTGTATAATAACTCATTTTCAAAAAGAAAAATTAAGAGAATAAAAATTTTTCATTAAAATGAAATTTAATTAATAAATTAAATTTTAAACAAAACATTATTATGATTGAATTCGATATGACGGACCATTTTATCTAAATTAACTGCATTCGCTTGAAACTTATATATTACTCAGAGGTTTTCGGAGTTGCTGACGACAACGTATTTAATGTCAATTTTGTCGAATTTGAAAATGGCAGATTTAATATGAAGGTGAAATTGTTAAAAATCAAACCATCAATCAAAAAAAAAAAAAAAAAATTTTTTTTTTAAACAAAAAAAATTGTAAAATTGAACGAATATAAATCGAAAAATGGCATGTGTATATATCGGCAGACTGTATTTTAAAAGTTGGTCCTCGATTTGTAGGGAAGAAGACCACAAAATCAAACTGTTGACGTGTCTGCGTGTGTCTACAGTTATAGACTACACATTTTACAATGATTCACGTCTGTATATATATAGTCATATAGAGAGTGTGTATCTACCTTTTTTTTGTACTAGCGCGCGAAGCACTCAACTGAGACCCCGAGCAATTTTTTATATCGTCTCTATCCCCAGGTTTAATGTGAAGGGCACGCGCCATGCACGCCCTGTATAAAGATCAAACGCGAGGCATACACTATATATATTATATACATGTGTGTGAGTATATACCTTACAAATATTACAAGATCTGCAAATAAAAAATAACCATAAAGTTTTTTTAAACCTTTCCCACCTCAAATCGACGCTAACTTTTTATTCATTATTTTAAGAGAAAAATGAAAAAAAATGATTCTGCGGGAGCTATTTTGTGCATTTAAAAAAATTAAAAATTTAAGTAAAGGAGATTCTGTTCATTGTTTTTATACACATTTGTCTTACTTTTTTGTCGAAAAACTATAAATAAGTTAATGAAAACGATTAAAACTGTATAACCGGCGCGTAACATAACCTCAAAAAATTAACTTTAATTAATATTTATAAGTTTTTCAAGTTAATTTCAAAACTATTTCTCTCGTTTCTCTTAAAATAGCTAAAAAAAGTATATATATACTAGAAATTAAAGGGTTATTTACTTAGCCTTAAAAATATTAATTTCAATTTTTTAAAAAATATCTTTCGAAATGTTTAAAAAAGCTTCTATATTGAAATGTTTCTTTAAAGTTATTCACAAGTCTTTAAATGATATAATTTTATAATTATAATAGTATAATATAATATATATTAAAAAGAAAAAAAAGTTATTTAATATCTGGGATAATAATTTTAAAAAAAGTTGTTAACTTTTTGAAAATCCAGATTATATTAAAGTTTTTTTTATTTTACATTTTGATGTAATAATAAAAATATTTTCAAGGTTCCATAATTTAACTGTTTTCCAGAATTTTTAATGAAAATTCTTCTCTATATATCAATTATTTTTATTAATAATTTCTGAAAAAGTTATTTAAAAATTCAATTATTTTAATGAAAAAAAAGAAAGTCTACATAAAATAACATATATACGACTAGAAATCTGCACATTGTTTACAGTTCCATTTTGAACGAAATTTCAAGCGATTTCAAAACACAATTCAAATCAAAATTTTTCTTGAAAAATTCACTTCTTCAGAATTTACAATTAAAGTTATTTAAATTTTTTATTATCTATAATTTTAAATTGAAGCTTTTTGAAATTCAATTATTTATAAATAATGCTGTAAATGCATCTCTTATAAAATTCGCAATTATTTTAAAAATATTTTATTAAAATTCTTCTCAACTACTATATTAAATATTAGGTATTAAATAAATAACTGTTAATATAAATAAATTATTTTTAATTTTTGAGAAAGTTCTTTAAAAATTCAATTATTTAAACAGAAAACGAAAATTCACTTAAAATAATTTTAAAATCCATTTGTTTACAATTCAAATTTACTATAAATTTCAATTATTCAAAAATTCAAACAATTACAAAATAATTTGAATATAAAATTATTTCAAAAAACTGACTTCTTTAAAAGTTTTAAATAAAATTATTTAAAAACTAAATTTCGACTTATTTTAATGAAATACTACTTTCTTTGGTATAAAAAAATGTAATTGGAAACATTTTAATTTTAAACGTATATGAAATGAAACCCTTTTTTTAAATAATCGAAATTCTCAAACAATTTTTTCAAAATTACTATAAAAATAATTACTTTAAAGAAGAATTTTAGTCAAAAATTCTAAAAAATAATTGAATTTTGAAAGAATTACGGTTCTAATTATTTAAGAAATAATGAAATTTTAGAAGATTCGAAATTTTTTCCAGAAAATATTGTTTATGGTAAAATAAATAACAAATTTAAAATAATTTAACAAAATTACTGTAACGATGAATAACTTAATTTAGAAATTCTGAAAAAATTATGTTTCCGCAAAATATTAATGAAAATTTAATTAAAATCTCTTCAAGATAATTGAATTTTCGAAAACAATTTTTAAAATTTTCTAACAATTGAAAATTTTGTTATTTTATTCATATAAAATATAAATTTGATGTTCTAAAGAATATTATTACCATTTTTAAAAAGTCATTTCTTTCAAAGAAAAAAATATTAAAAATTGTAAAAAAATATAAAAAAAATCACTATATTTCAACTTTCGAAACACGCGAAAAAGACGAATTTCAGGTGTGAACATACTAACAAGAACCTGCATTGAATAAGAATCCTACACAATTTGATACGCATCAAGAATAAGCCAGCTAGATGGCGCCACGTTTTAGAGCTGCAACAAAAATGAATCGACAAGTTTTTCCTGTGGCAGAATAAATGAGTGATTCCCCGGAATTTCTCCACACATATTGCCCTTAATCTTTTCACCTTGGAAAACGCAAACGCATCTAAAAAACATGTTGAAAGCTTTTCCACAAAACTCAGAGGAAATGTATACATACATAAAAAATCAGAAAAGAAAACTCGTTAACTTTTCTTGCAAAGAAAATATCTCAAAGCTAAGTTTGAAAAAAAAATCGTTTCTAAAAAATTTTTTTTTTAACTCAAGGAAAAAAATTTACACTTCCAAAAAGAGAGGAAACGACAACGATATATACGTGGATTTACTAACAGAGAAAGACGAGAGTTGGTAATAAAATTTGAGAAAAAGGACGATTTCCGGCATAGGAGACTTTCGCTTTTCCGTTGGCAAAAAAAAAAGAGAGAAAAAAAAGAAGAAGAAGAAGAAGAAGAAGAAGTAAAAGTAAGGGGGAGTTTGGAGGGTGTAAAAATGTAGGTCCAGTGGATTGTGATCCTTTTACTCGAATTTTCTCGAAACATATATACGCAACGATTTCTCTCTCTCTCTCACACTCAGTAGTAGCAGCAGGTTCCCCCGCATCTCCCACTTGTCCCAAGACTCATCGTGTGCTCCCCCCACTCCTTCACTCTCCCCCTATTCATCATTCTTTCCTACTCGCGTGCATTGTTCCTCTCCCCCCTCCCTTCTGCCCACTCGTTCCACTACCCCCACTCCCCGTGTTCCGCACGGAAGTTCCGTCCCATTTTGTTCTTGTTCTCTCACTCGTGCGCGCATTGAACGAATCGCGCAACACTGGATCACGACCAAGGGACGAATAGTGGGGCGCTAAAACCTCTGTGCGAACAAGGTAGTGGGGGAACGAGGACTTTCGTTTCTCACCAACAAGATTTCAGCCCAACTCGGTTGTCATTTAGTATTGGGTTAGGTCAGCCCAAGGCAACATCGTAGTTTTTAGTTATAACCATAGTTGCTCTCTCACGCTGTTCCTATTACTACTAAAAAAAAATAATATCGCCGCAGTTACTATTTTCTCGTTCGTAGAAAAGAAAATAAAAAGTATATATTTTTTAACTTGAAAAACGAATATAAAACTATCCCACTGTCTGTGACTAGTGTTTAAATAAAATTGTGTTTTTGAAAAAAATTCTTTTTCTTTCTTAAAAGAGAAAATTTTTTATTTACGCTCGCGACAAAGTGATAATTTTCCGCCGTGTAATTTCTTTTGGATCACATGCTGTTGTGTTGTGCTTGTGTTGTAAACAAGAAATTCACGTCAGTTGTTATCAAGTGCATGGAGTATTTGTGTTTTGCTATTTAAAGTTCGTAGGATGGCACTTTCTTATCTACAGGAGGCGCAAATTACCGCAGGTAAATTCTTCTTCAATAAACAAACAATTTTTTTTTATCCCCCTCCACCTTGTATGATCACATTTTTCGTGGCGAATTGAAACGCGAATTTAATTTTGGGAATTCCTTATTTATTTGAAAAGAATTTGAAAAAACTTTCAAATTTATTAAAAATTTAATGAAAATAAAATTGAAATTACTACTGAGTTCAGATTTTTACTAAATACACACAAAAAAATTCTTTGGTAGAGGAAATTTAATATTAGATTTTGGTTAAATCAACTAGAATTCTAAATATAAATTAACTAGAATTTTGATTCAATTAACTTGAATTCCGATTAAGTCGAATGGAATTTTAGTATTAAAAGAACTAGAATTTACTACAATTCACTTTAAATTACCTACAATTCACTTTAAATTAACTAGAATTTTGATTTTGTCAACTAAAATTCGGGACAAGTTAAATAAACTTCTAGTTAAGTAAAGCGGAATTCTAGATCACATATCTATAGAATTTTGATTAAATTACCCTGAACTCTTAAACACTTCGACCGAATTTAAAACCTAAATTAAACAAGAATTCTGTTTATCAACGAATAACCGGAAGTGAAAAAACGGAATTTCAGTTGAATTTCGTGAAATTTTAGTTGAATAACCAGAATTCTAATTATATTAAGTAACATTTTCTTAAAATTACCAGAATTCTGGATAAATTAAGTAGATACAGAAAAGAAGTTGGATAAACTAACTAGAATTCCATTTATAATTTATAAATTCTAGTGATAACTACAATTTTGGTTAATGTAAAACAGTATTATAATACCAGAAGTCAGACTAAATTTAGAATTTTAGTCCGAATTATCAGAAGTCTGGTTAAATCTTCGTAAAAATCGGTTGAAATATCAAGGAGAATTGAGATAGAATGAAGTATAATTTTTATTGAATTTAACAAAATTGGAATTAAATTTTTTAGAATTCTGGTTAAGGGACATTGGATTTTGGTAAAATTGAGTAGAATAAAAGTTTTAAAAAAACCCTGAAAAAAAGTTCTGGTTAGGGTATATTTAACACCATATTCTAGTTAAAACAACCAGAATTCTGTTTAAATTATCTAGAATTCTGGTTATTCCAACCAGAACTTTTTGTCAGTGCATCGTTTAAATTTTTAGTAGAATTTCAAAGAATATCACATTCAAAATTTGTGAATAAAATTTCAAATTCAAGAACAAGGAAGCCAAAAAAATTTAGTTAAAATCGGATTGAATTATAAACAATAGAATTCTGATAGAATTAAGTTGAATTAAAGATAGAAGAACAAAAATTCTAGTTTAATTGAATTCAAAATACGCATGAAATTTCTAGAATTCTGCGGTTATGTTCAGCATCGAATTTTATTTCAAATAATCAGTATTTTGGTTAAATTGACCAGAATTCGAGTTGAAAGAGCCAAAATTATGTTTAAGTTGACTAGAATTCTAGTTAGAATAACCGGAATTCTGGTTAAATTAATTTGAAGTACCGATGAAATTTCTAGAAATCGAGATAAATTAAAGAAAAATATAGTTGACATTACCAGAATTCTGGTTGCAGTAGAATTTTAATTAAACTAACCAAAACTTTGGTAAAATAAAGTAGAATTTATCTGAAATTTCCAGAATACCGCGGTTACAATCTAATTCTGGCTACAAATAGAATTCTTAATCAAATCTAACCAAAATTCCTTGCCATATTATACAGAATTAGTGTCAGAATAACCGAAATTCAGGTTAAAATAAATAAAAATTTAGTTCAAATTATCAGTATTCTGGTTGTACTAGGTAGAAATACGGTTGTAATATCTATACAATACCGCGACGAAGTTTATCACAATTGCAATTTTTAACAAACTTGAGACAGAATTCTGGTTAAATTAAGAGGAATTCGTTTTTGGCTGGAATTATGATCAATGTAACGAGAATTATAAAAACTAAAAATTCAGTTTAAATTAAGTAGAATTAATCAAAATTCTGTTTAAGTATATATAATATTTCTCAACACGCGGCGTGTAATTTTTTTTTAAATTCATACATCAAACAGACCTAATTTAAATTTCATATTTTTTTCGGCAAAAGAAGTTTTATTTTATATATATGCTAAATATTCCACTTTTTTTGTTTTCTTTTACTATTTTAGACATTGAAGTTTAAACATTCAAATTTGCTTTGAAATTTTACATAAATTATTGATTTTAGTTATTTTGGAAAAATAAAATATTTCGATACATTGTGGGAAATTTTTTTTTTGAGAAGGAAATATTTTGAGTGTAAATCATAATACTTTTTCTTTCTTTTCTTCTATTTTGTTTTTCTTGCTTTCAATCACACTTTCATTATATTTTGATATAACCCTTTAAAGGACAATAATTTTTTTTTGTTATTTACATTAAAGATAACCCATAACAAAATTGACAGTAGAAAATATACAAAATAAGATTTTTATTTATACCAAAAAGTTTTTATTTTATTTCTTATTCGCGATTATTTCTTAAAATTTTTGCTTTTGAATGTTGCAATTTTCATGAAAATATTGTAATTAACTATTATTTATTAAATATTATTATTACTATTATAATTATCAAATATTACTTTTAAGTTATTTTTTAACTTTATTTATTGTTAAAGTATAACTTTTGAAATTTACCAATAAAATTTTTTTTATATTATTATATAATACATTGAAGAAATGTATCACTTTTATTTTTAAAATATAATACAAATTAATAAAGAATTTTGCCTTGAGGTTAAGAAAATGAAATTTAAAAAACTTTTAAAACCATAATGTTCGGACTAAAGTATGAAAATTTTAAACGTTCTTAAAATATAATATTTGTTGTAATAATAATAATAATAATAATAATAATAATAATAATAATAATAATAATAATAATAATAATAAAGGTTCACTCATAAATTATTATGCTCTAGATATATTATCAAATAGCATCAACAAGTGTCATAATGGCAAAAGTGAAATTAACCTTCAAAATATTCTAGCCTAAAAAATAAATTGTATCATTTCTATATTGAAAACTAATAGTATCAATTTTTTCTCTCTTCCGCCCCCATGAACACAAACACTACAAGCCTTCTACATCTTCCCTATATACTCTATTTATATTATCTCGACGGGAATTTGCGGCCAATTAGAGAAGGGATTGAAGAGTCGGTGGAAAGGGCGGTCCTTCCTTGTTGCTGGGAAACGGTGATAAGGGAAAAAAAATATCGATTTACCAACAAGTCTTATTAATATACTCAGTTTTCCTTTATGTCTTCAAAAATATAAGAAAAAGAAATCATAAGTTTCAGATATAAAAATTTTCTTTCTCAAAAGTGTATTATATACTACAGAAAAGCGTGTTTAAATCTGTCGCCGACAGAGGGCACCACACGACGGATCATCGTGAATCCGAAAAGAAAATGAAAAATTTAACTTTTATCAGAAAAAAAAGGAAATTCTTAATTCAATTTAATATCTCTTTTTAGACTTAGTATTTAATTTAGTTACTCTTAATTTATCCTTATTTAATTTAGCTCGATTAATTCACTTATTAGATGAAGATAAATTGAAAGGGATAATGAGGGAGAAAAAAAATTGAAGTAAGAGGAGGAGGACGTGGCACGTGGGATGGTGGGTGGCTACAGTATCATGAATGAACGCCCAGACGTGTGTAAAAGAATGTGAATGAAGAGGGGGTGGGGGGAGGGGTAAGTTGTTTCCGGGAACAAGTCCTCCACGTGTGAGGAGAGAGAACAAATCCAAGAAGAGGAGAATGAGGAGAATTTGCCGATTCATTGGGAGGCGCACGTGTCTCCTTTCCCTCTCAAACTCCACCCGTTAAATCCCCCTCCCCCCTCCCTCTCCCCCTACCACTTTTTTTTTCCTACCAACCGTTTCCCTCATCACCTTTCCCCTTTCCATGAACAATCCTCTTGAGTCTTGACTCCCAAACTGCTCCGCTTTTCATCAAGATATATTATTTCATTCCCATTCTTAATAATATCGATTCTTTAATTCGCCAACGACATTCACTTTTACTATACTATTCGTTTTGTAAATTACTAAAAGTTCTTTATTGGTTCCTAATTTTTAAAACTACTCGGACTTTAAAGACTTTATTGTTGTTTTATTTGGTAACAGTTGAGTAAACATGATTTTTGTTATTTTACAGGTCTCTTACCCGGACAACATCTCGACATGAAGCAAGACAATGAAAAGCAACCGCCATCGCCACCATTAAATAATAACAGTGCAGCGACATTATTCTCTGGAATGGGAGCTGCCGCTGCTGGATTATCAATGTTGACACCACAACAATTATTGGCAGCGAGTAGAACTGCGGCTCTAATGGCCGCTGGTATTCCAGTTTCACTTCATGCAACATTAGCGGCAAGTCCCGCACTCTATAGGCATCATCAGACATTATTTGGTGGCTGGTTACCACCGGGTGGCGGCTCATCACCACCATCGCCACTTCATCCCACATCGGGTTCAATATCGCCTGCCTTAAGTACCAAATCGTCATCGCGCGGAAGAAACAATCACACCAATAACAGTATTAATTTCAATAACAATAATAATGTTGTGAGCAGTAGTGCCGATCGAATAACGAAAAAAGGCCAACCACTGAAGAGAAAGCTCACGACAAAAACGAAAATTGAAAGTATTCAACTACCTCTTGAGAGTGGCGCACCCCTAAGTCCGCCCTCGTCCATTAGTCCGGAAGCCGTCAAGGACAGTAGGGATAAGGTCTTTACTTGCGAGGTTTGCTCGCGATCTTTCGGCTACAAACACGTGTTGCAGAATCATGAGAGGACTCATACAGGAGAGAAGCCTTTCGAATGTCCCGAGTGCCACAAACGGTTAGTTGAAATCATTGTTTTAAAATTTAAGGTCTTTACTATAAAATTATTTTTGTCAGGGACACCAATGTCCTAGTTTCCGTCCAAAAAAGTAACGTAAACTAATTTGCCGATGGCGAAATGCCATGGCACTTACGGAGTTAAAATTAATATTTAATAAAAACTGAACTGAATTTTTAATTATTTACAAATAAAACTATGGGGGTTTAAACGGTAACTTGGAACATCAACATGACGCTAAAGTCATCCTACTTTCATTAAGTTCCCTTTGAGTAAGTCAAAAATTTCTTTTCTTGTATAAGTCACAATATTTTTTCCTCTATATGTAATTACGCAAACACTTTTGTGTATAATTGTTTTACTCCTTTAACCAAAGCTGAGGTGGTACATTATATTCTCTTTGAGTAAGTCAAGAATTTCTTATCTATAAGCCACTTTGTCGCTAGGTCACAAACACACAAACGAATGTGCCGAAATGTACCCTAAGGAGAAAGAGACTTCTTAGGTGTCTTCCATAAACCACAGCATGGGGGCATGGGATTGAATTGAAATGGAAATGTAAATTTGAAATTTACAAAAGTAAATTTGAAATTTACCACTAATACCTTCTCATGTGATGAGAATGTAAAAAAAGGGGTCCATAACACGTGGTTTACGAACGACCCCTAAGCTTTTGTTTCGTACGCCAATCCATAGATGTACTGATGATGAAAGTTCTCCGATGAATCCTGAAAAATAAATTTTGTATTAGAATAGATGATAAAGTATTTAAATATTTAGAATAATGAAAATTGATTTGTAAACAGTAACTAATAACCTAATTTTCTTTCTTTTACAGATTTACGAGGGACCATCACCTAAAGACTCACATGAGACTGCACACGGGGGAGAAACCTTACCACTGTAGCCATTGCGACCGACAATTCGTTCAAGTCGCAAATCTCCGTCGTCACCTTCGCGTCCACACTGGCGAGCGACCATACGCCTGTGAATTATGCTCAGCAAAATTCAGCGACTCCAATCAATTGAAGGCCCATCTATTAATTCACAAAGGCGAGAAACCCTTTGAATGTGAACACTGCCGAATGCGTTTCCGTCGAAGGCATCATCTCATGCACCACAAATGCGGCCTCGGCGGCTCACACACCACATCAACGACCATGAGCAGCAACGCATCATCAACAAGATCACAAATTGGCTCACCATCATTGGCAAGCGACGATCTCGACGAGGACATTGATATCGACATTGACGTCGATATGCGACTAAATTCCCACCAAGAGAATTCCCACAAAATGCGTAATACCGTCCAAATGCCAATTCATCGTCAACTCACCACTCCAATTATCAAGCCAATTAGTTCAATGTCATTGCCTCTGAATTTATCCAATATTCCAAATGATCTACCCGAACAAACGGAACCTGAGGATCTATCAATGTCAACAGGAATGCATCGTTCGAATAATTCGCACAGCGGCGGTGATACACCACTCAGTCAAAGTCCATGCAGTGTTACACATCAACACGATCACGAGGACGATGATAATGACGATGACGACGAACTCAACGTCTCCGAAGCTAGTCCAAGTACATTGTTCCTACAAAAAACTTCCTAACGACTCACACACAATATTTCAATCATAAAACTTTTTTAAAACCCCACATCGATTTTTCAAAATCGTCTATAAAAATCTATTCCGAGCGTAATAGGCAAAAAAAAAAAGAAGAATTCAAACTGAAAGTTGAAAATCAAAATTATTAATAAATGTAAAATAGAGAATTAATTACTATTTGTTGATAACTATTATTAAAAATGGTAGTAAAAAATTTTTAAATGTATTAAAATTTTTCTTTAGTTAATAATTATTATAATTATTCAAAATTAACATTTGTTTCTCATTGTAAAAATATGTGTATAAAAGAAAACGAAAACTATTATTATATCAATTACAATAATAATAGTAATAAAAATAATAGTTTTATTTAACAGTAAACAAATGAAATGTTAATGTACCTACCAAAATTATAATAATTATACAGTATTTACAATTATCAAAGTATTTTAAAATAATCAACCGAAATAGGTACAAAAAATGTAGATCTTTCAAAAAATTGGTTATTTTACACAATTTTTTTTTAAACACACTGAGAACAATACGCAATCTATAACAGTCAAATTTATTACAACAACAACGTGTGTTTATTATTAGTTAATATTTATTTTTAATTAAGAGAGTTATTTAATGATTAATAAATTCAAACTAAGAAAATTCAATACAAAAAAATCAAAAAAACTGAAAAAAAATCAAGAAAAGTAGATAAATTGAATAATAATAAAAATTCAATCAATAATAATAATTATTATTAATTATGTTATTATTATATATTAATTATATTAATTATATTATATATTATTATTAATAATAATAATTGTAATTCAGTTGGAAGAAATTCAAAATTCATTTAAAAATTAAAAGCAATAAAAATATGAGAAAATTAAGTAAACATTTAATTTACTTAATTTTCTCATATATTTAAAGAAAATAATTAAATAAATTTTTAAAAATTAACATAAATTAATTTATATTAATTACATTATTTTAATCAAATTAATTAAACTAAGTAATTCTCTTAATTTAAAATCACCGTTAAAAAACAACTTTTGTTTTAGTTCTCGTTTTTTATGTGAAATTAATTAAATTTCCGAATTGGCGCATAAATGTAAAAAATTTAATTTACGTGATAATTTTAATTACATTTGACTTTTGTGGACTATTTTCTATTCTAAACGTTACTTTATTTAATTTTAATTTATCATTATTTGTAAGTATTTGTTTTATTGATAATTTAAATTTAAAAATATACTTTAGTTGTACATAAGTTTGTAAATAATTTTGAAAAATTTGTTCAAAGTTTATAAATTAGTTTTTCCTTTTTTTTTTTTTGAAGAATGATTAAAACATCTAAGAATTAATATTTATTTTTTTGTTATATAATAAGAATAGTAATAATAATAAACTATTATTATTGAAAAAAAAACATGGTATTATTTTAATTTATAATTTTCTATTGTTTCTTTTTTACTTCAAATTTCACTATTTACCACTTACAGATTTAAAACACTTTTAATTTCTAAACGATTTATTCCATTATTATTATTGTCAAATTAATTTTGCTGTTAAGTTGAAATTTAAATAATTTGTTTTTAAATTTCAAACAAAAATTCAGAAAGTGTTATTTATGGTAAATTGTTAAAATTTTGTCAAATTTTCTTACTTTTAAAAATTTTTCATTTTTTTAAATGAAAAACAATGATTAATTTGACATTCTGCCAAAAGTAGAATTTTTAACATAACCTCCAAATACAAAAATTTCTGCGCAGACTCAAGATGTTCGATTAATAATATCGATATATTTGTCGAGTCTGCGCAGAAAAGGTTTAAAGTTTTACTGTCTCAGTGAAAAATTGGTAGTAGTAAAAAACATTTCGGAAAAGAGAAATAAAAAAAAGTTTTAGAAGAGCTCAAATTGAGGAATTTACTTCATGGAAAGAATGTTTGATAAAATTGTCATTTCCGTCGAGATTTCTTTTTAATTTTTATAGTTTGGCAAAAAAAAAAAAAAAATTGAAACACAAATCGACAATCACGAATTATTTTCTAACCTCAAAAAAAACAAAACTCCTCGAATTTTTTTTTTATTTTCAATAATTTAAATTTTCAAAGCTCAGATTGAGAAATTTACTTCATGGAAAGAATGTTTGGTAAAATTGTCATATTCCTCGAAATTTAAATTAAAGATTTTTTTTATACTTCAATTTTACCATTTTAAAAAAAATAGTTATCAAATAGAACAGTGGAACGTCTCTAATTTAAAAATCATTCCTCATATCAGTATCGTCACCGTTTTATTACGATTAAAAGTCAAAATTCCAAAAAATTTAAATTAGTGACGTTAGTAAATTTTATTGAATTCTCTACGTATAGTCGTATAATATTACCATTAATTAATAATTGAATTTTCAATTTCTGTTTACATTTCGCCGAAAAAAAAACTAAACGAATTTTGTGCGCAAATCGAGAAAGAGATGTGGGCCTTCAGTAAACACGAATTCTATACACATTAATAATCGTCTTCACCAGTCAATAATTTACAATCGATTTTTAAATTTAAAAATCATAAAAAAAAGTATCGTCTCGATTATTTATGTGAATTTTAGTAGAAATTTAATTAACGCAAAATGGATTAATATACAATACGGAAAATAAACTCAATAAACTTTTTTAGTTTTTTGAGGTTATGTTCGTCATTCAATCGCAATTTGAGTAAAAAAGAAAAATTACGTTATTAATCGTGTAATTTCTAACTTCTTTTTTTTTGTTAAAACAATATAATTGTTATTTAAGTGAATTTTTGTTGTTATCAGAGGGAAAATGAAAAATGTTGGCACACTATGCATGTCGTGGTTGCCTATATTCAAGGTGCAACGTTCTTAAAAAATATTTTCACCTCTATTATTACAGTAATAATTTATTATTATACATTAATAAAAAAAAATATATTCGTTTAATATTATTCAATCTTTGTATATTAAATACTAAATTGAATAATATTTGATATTACAAAAAAAAAATGTATATATTATATATATTTATTCCGTTCAAAAATTTGATGACACATTCAACGAAAGAGGGTACAAATTTCAGACCTTAAATAGTTAATTAACGATAAATTGGAATATTTTTATTACTCATTGAAAAAAAGCAAACGCCAAAAGAAATATTTGCCAATGAAATCTTTTCGTCTAATACGAAGAAAATATATTTCAGTATATTTTAACAAAAGTTTTATATTATTGATAAAAATTGAAAAGTGATTTTTGTAATCGCTAGAAGAAGCTAATGTCATTTTTGAGTTACATATTTTACAGAACTGATATTAAAATTTAAAAAAACAAATTTTGTATTAAAATTATATTTTAATTTTTCTATTTGCTACTAAAATCTTGCAAAATTAAAATATACTGAAATAAATTTTTCTTTCATAGTGCACAACAACTGATATTTTTTATTATAAAAAAAAAGAGAAATAAATAAAATTAAACAATTATGTACTATAATTAAATAATTTTAATAAAAAGAAATTTGTCATTGACAAAAAAAAAAGTTGCTCAAACAATCCAGTTTTGTGCACTAACCGAAAAAATATGGACGACATTTGTATACTAAAGAATAAAAAAAAAGATGAAAATGGAACTGACTCTACCTCACCAGACATCTAATATTGTATATCTCAAACACAAGACTGATTTTAAATAGTATTCTTATAAGTGTAAGAAAAACGATGAAAAAAAAAATAACGCGGAACAAAAAAAAACCAAGAGAATTGGGATAAATATTTAAAAAAAAATAAAGTAATTCACAAACATATATAAAAATTGTCTTGTTTTTTTCTTTGTAAGTTAATTATTTAAGTAGTCGTGTAATAATTATCATGATGTAGAATTTATAGATAAAACAAAAAAAAAACTACAACGCAATCAATGTCGTGTGAGAATCGAGAGTTAATTTTTTGTTTTTTTTTTCTTGAAAATTATATTCATATTTGGAAAATTTTATACAAATTTTTCCAATTAATTTTCAAAGAAAGAAAAAAATTAAATTATGTATATTACTTGGTAAATATATATTAAGGGTTAGTGAATAATTTATTCTAAGTTAAACTCTCGATTGTTCTTTAAATGTCACGTGGACTAATATATTGTATAATGAATGTTTCACACGAAGTCGACTGCTCTGTCAATCTATTTTTATTATTAAAATTCGCTATTTAATCGTTATTCTTGTTATTTTTCTTTTACTATTATTCTAAAAACAAAAAAAAAAAAATCCAATAGAAAATATTTCCTCCTTTTCCATAATTTTTTTCAAAATAATTAAATTTTTAAATAATTAAAATTTTTTTGAATTCTGTAAAATTTAGTTGAAAATAATTGATTTCTTTCAAGTGTTTTATTAAAATTTTTAAAAATCAAATTTTGAAGAATTTTAATGTTAACTTTTAAAAATAATTGACTTCTCAAAATTTTTAATTTTTTAAAATTTAAATTTAAAATTTTAATAAATATATTTAATGTAAATTTAAAAATGAAAATTAACTTCTGAAAATTGAATTAAAATATTTTTAAAAGAAGGTATTTTTTTTATTCTATTTTTTTATAATTCACTTATTTTCAATATTTTCAATTACATATTTACAAAAAGGCAAATAAATTCAAAAAGTAATAATATTAAAATTTTTTATAGCATTATTTTTGAAAATTTTGAATAGAAAAATCGTGTTTAAAATTTGTAAATAAAAACCTCGAAAAATTTATAATTTTTTTTTAAACTGTACAAAAATTCTTCTGAGAAATTCAATTATTTTCGAAAAATTGCATTACAATATTTTTAAAAAACTGATTCTTAGAATTATTTTATCATAATTTTTTACGATTCAATTATCTTTGAATAAAGTAAATTAAAATGTTTTAAAATTTACTTTTTTAAATTTATTGAAATTTTAGAGAAATTTTTCGCAAGAATTTAAATAATTTCGTAAAATAATAAAAATCTTTGCAGAGATTCAATTATTTTCAAAAGTCTTAATAAAATTCTTCGCAATAATTCAATATTATTTTGAAAAATATCAGAATTTTAGCAGAAATTCAAACATTTAAAAAATGTTTGATAAAACTTTTTTTTGGTAGAAATTCAATTATTTTTAAGACAATTTTAAAAGAATGTCTTGATAAAATTCAATTATTTTTAAAATTTTAATGAAATTCTTCGAAAGAATTCAATTATTATAATCTAAGATTTAAACTGAATAAATCTATTTTTAATTCAATGTTTATAAGAAAATTTTACCAAAATTCAATTATTTAAATACGAAAATAATTAATTAATTTAATAATTGAACTTCTGTTTTTTGGAATTTAATTCCTATTAAAAATTTTATCAACAAATTTTTAAATAATTAGATTCTTTGGACGAATTTTAATAAAATTTTTAAAAAATTTTTCGAGGAATTAAATTAAAATTCTATTGAAAATAATTGAATTCTTAAAAAGAATTTTATTATTTACGAAAATAATTGAATCCCCCGTAAAAATTTTATTATTTACGAAAATAATTGAAGGATTGCGAAGAAATTTATAAAAAAAAAATTTGTTATTAATGAAATTCTTGTGAAATTTTTATTGTTTTTTGAAAATAATTGAAAGTTTTTGTAG